GGTGTCATCTTTTGGAGGTATTAACTAGTAAGAACTCATGACAGGCAAGAATTTTTTGAAAATAAATCAAGTGCACAGATAAGTGAAAAAAAGGAGTATGTGTTGAGTTTGATTAATGAGTCATCTTTAGCCTTAATTTATTCATCCTCAGAGGCAAGCCACAGGAACCCCACAAAAATCTATACACCAGTTAGTGTCTCAGACTAAAATACCCAAGAAATCCAAACTCATTCAAAGACAACATCCCAGTGTCATTATTCTTCTTTAGCAATCATTCCTATATAAATACTGTCAAAGGGACAATCAGCAGGTCTATGCTCCAGCTCCATCTAAATTTATCAAAAAATTTAATCTTCCTATATAACTGGTTCCCTTGACTACTGTTTTGAAGGATCCAATTTATTCATCCCAGCAGCATCTAACCTGACACAGAGAACATGGACTATTCACATTCCTAGTGGTGTTTAAAGCCTGAAAACTGTTTAATCTAATACAGTGTGGTCCTTGCTATGTTCTACAGAAGGTGCCTTTTCTTAAAATGCGACTACAAATTCTTCTCCCATAAACCACAAAGGGATTAAGTATTGGTAGAGCATTTGTCCAGACTTTCTCTGTTATTCTAGCTCATTTACGATAAAGACTATGCATTATTGTTTAACATTTATGAATGTTTATAGACACACATACATACAGTTATCAGAACAAAACACCATGTTGCTAAGCCTGTTTTTCTGTGTGGTACTTCTGTGTCAGAGGGAGAGAATGGGTGTTTGCTTGCAGAGCAACACAGCAGAAAAATATAGGCATCAATATTAGGAAAAATACCCCTGTCCACATTATCTGCCTGCATCAGTCATCATTTGTTCCACTTTTTTTCCACCTCATCTTTATGATTTTTTATTGTTTCATTTTTCTTTCATTCTACCTAACAGTCTTGACACTGTTTTATTAGAACTCTGTAAAGATGAAGTATTTGCAGATCAATAGCACCTCAATATGAGAAAAAGTGTAAGGGAGAAATTAAAACAGCTCAACACAGTCAGTGTTCTTACTGTTCCAGGAAAAAATCCTGTTTGCTGCTCTTTGTATTAGAGTTCTTAAAAAATACAACTGCTTGGCAGCAATTCAAAATACAACCTGCCTAAAACAGCCTATAGAGACGAAGAGGGAAAAATAATAATCATTGGATACACAGTGTGGAGAAATATATGAAATGATCTTCACAGAGCCTTGGAAGGAACAAAAACAGAGGTAAACAAAGACTGTTCCAAAGATAAAAGCTCCCCTTCAAGTTCCTCAGAAGAGAGATTTTAAAAACCAATATATTCCCACTTCAGTCCTGAACCCCCATGACAAATGGAGCTGTTGACCCAGCTTCTTTACAATCTTTTCACAACATAATAGAGGAAAGAAGCATCTCACATTCAGATGCCTAATGCCATCTCAGGAGAAATTATGTTGATCTACTTCAATCTGTAGAGCAAAAAAGGCTACTTAGAAATTTCACTTTATGGAAATTGTTTCAAGAAGCAATAATTGGCAAAGACATGATCTGTTTAACATGGTCATTTTGCATTAAAAAATGCATAATTACTTTCAAAATAAATTTCAGTTTCTATATACTTACTTCTTCAGGTGTAATTACTCCAGTTTCTTTGAACTTGGACTCCTGCAAGAGAAAAGTTTAGAAATTTTGAGAACTGCTGACAAATCAACACAATCCACTTTACTGGAAAGACAAACACCTTCTCCACTCTCATTTTGCAATTAGATCTTTGGAATTAGTTCTGTCCAGAGATTCAAGAATCAGCCTGGAGGCAACCACTGAAGCACTGCCACAACTGACAGGAAACTTACATTGGTATATAAGAAATTACTTGTTGCAAAATATGATTATGAAAAATTATCACCTATACAAAATAATTGTTTTTGCTACTGCCAATTTATAGCAACAAGGAAGAAAAGATGACTGGCACTCAGTAGTACATTTGCCAGTAAGAAACAGAAAATCAGCTGGAATTGGTGATCCAGACTGTCAAGGATTCCAGAGTTCTAGGCATTGAACAGCATTGCAATGCATCAATATGAGGCTTTGCAGTTAAGTAAAGTCATGAATGAAAGACCAAACCAACTTTTCTCTGGGCTAGAAAAAGTTAAATACAAAGACTTAGTAATATACTCTCTTTTAATGCCCTTTTCTGTGCTTTCATCATGCACCCTATGGAAACTTCAGTTTTTGCATATTGTGGGGAGTTCTGTTGATGAAAGAATACATGGTGAGCAGACACCAGACTTATTCTGCCTAAGAGAAATTAAGTACTTTAGCATTAAAGGCAACATTTATGAAGCTTAAGGATAACATATCTTGTGTCATATTCAAATTTGGATGAAGTGTATTATATTTTGACTTCTGGTAGTTTGCTTCTTCAGAAAAACCTCAAGTACCGAGGTACCCCACCGTTCCTCAGCATTAGAGCTATTCAAAACCGGCTTTGACAGAGAATGCAATTTCCGCCATGGCACAACTGACTTCTTGCCCAAAGAAATCTATTTTTTTCCCCCTATCTAGACTAAAAGCATCAACTGAACATGTCTTGCTCCCAGCCACAACATCACCATATTCAACCAGCCAGAAAACACTGAACAAAAGCAGCCGCAGCTAAACTTGGTTATTGGCATTCCTTCTCCCAGTGTACGCTATCACCTGTGCTACAGAAAATGAAAGGAGCACGCCTACTTCATACGCACTGATTACTGCCCTTCTGCCTCAATTCTAAGGAAAAATGCTTAAGAACAAGGCAAAGATAAGGAAAATAGCAGCTCTACAAACATTGGTATATGCTAGGTGACTGAAATCAAAGTAATCTCAAGTGCTATAAAACTCAGAATCCTCAATAACACATTGAGCAACACCATAGTGGAGACAACTTACTGGTTCCCCTCAAAATGAACCATAAGCAGTAGGGAACATGCACAAACTTGTGTCTCTGGAATTACAGAAAGAAAACATGTCAAGTATCCATCCTCTGTTCCCTGAGGGTAAATAGCTCGTTTTTCTGCGTAAGTAAATTCTTCAATTGCCAGAGACACAGGTCTAATTTCTTTCAAAAATTACCAAGTTGGAGTATTTATTTCCCCCTTGTAAAGGGAACTTATACACATGATATCAACACCTTCCATTTCTGGAAGTTTCTACTCCTGCCTCTTCCCAGTAATCCATCTGGACACAAGAACTCATCCACTATTACAACAGCTGTGGAAGAACAACTGTACTACTGAACAACTCACTTCATCCTTCCATGGCACAACTTCACTGCAACCCATACGTTTCGCATTGGTGAGCAACTCTAGGACCAGACAAGAGTATCTCAAACACCACAGAGGGACAAGTTCAATTAATAATTGACTGTCCCAGCTATCTACCCAGAGAAGTAAGCTGCAGGGTGCAAAGCACATAAAAGGTCAAGCCACAAAGCCACAGGCAGAGAGACTGTTGTCATAAACAAGTGTTTTTTTCAAAAGCATGCAGAAGCATCAAAATCAGTAATGAAAAAACTGCTGCCAATTTAAGCACTTGTATACAGATTTGGAGTTTATATAAGAAATTGTTTACAAATAAGAGTCAGAGAATGGGATGTAGTCTCACAACTGCAGAAAACCATAATTTGTTTCTACCTAAATATGCAGTGACAGGACCTATAACAGATGTGCTGCCTACTTTTATAATGGCCCAATGGCTCATTTCTACTATTCTCACCTACTTTGGTGGACAGAGGCTTGTATATTAATACTGTAATTCTGACACAGGAATAAACCGGCTATGTAAAACCTGCTCACACAACAAAGGTGTGGCTAATTTTGTTGTTTTAGTCTGTGTTTTTTTATGTCAGCTGAAAAAGCTGCCCTTTACCCAAATAAGCATTGAAACACAATTCCTGAAACCAGGCTCAAGCATGTCTGTACGCTCGGATTTCAATTCCTGGACACACAACCACGTAAAACTTTCGTGACTTTTTACAGAAAACGGCAGCCCGTTTAAGTCATTCCTTGAGCAGCAGGAGCAGCAACACCTATTCTTCGAGAGGCCCGCCCCTCCCTGATGCTCCCCCCGCCGCGGGACGTGAGCGCCAGCCGGGGTTCCCCGATCCCAGCGCGGGACGAGGGCCGATGGCCGGGCCGGCCCGCCCGGCACCGCGCCGCTCCTCGGGCCCGGCCGACAAGGGCACCGACAGCCGCCTCCCGGGGCTCATGCAGGGAAGTGCGCCGGCAGGCGGGGGCGGCCATGGCTGTCCCTCCTCCCCATCCCGGCTCCCGCGCAGGACGGCACCTTGAGCACGGGCGTGAGGTACTCGGCCACCTCCAGAGCCTTGCCCTTCACCGTGTTGATGACGTTCTGCATTGCGGCGGTCGGTCGGTCGGTCGGTCGGTCAGACGGACGGGCGGACAGACGAAGAGCGGCCGCCCCCCCCCGCCCTCGGCACGGCGCTCCCGCGGCCGCCGCCCACGTGACCCGCCGCCCACGTTCCCCCCGCCCCCCGTCGCACGCGCGTGACGACGCACGGTGTGCGCGCGCAGGGCGGGAAGGCGGGGCGGGGCCGCGGCTTACGCAGCCGCCGGGGGGCGTGCGCGAGCCGGGGGGCGGAGCTCTCGGGTTCCTGGAAGCCGTGGGGGCGGGGCCGAGCCGGCGGTGCTGAAGCGGGGGAGGAGGGGGAGCGCGTGTCCGCGCGGGGCGGGGCAAGGCGGGGGGCGCGCGCAAGCGGCCCCGCCCCGCCAGGTGAGGCCGGAGGGTGGAGGCGGGGGGGGGCGGAGTGGGGTGCGAGGGGGCGCTGAAGGGGCTTCGTGCGGGGCCCCGGGGACAGCCCGGCCTTGGGCGGCGGGGATGAGTGAGGGGGACCGTGCTGCCGCAGCCTCCCGGGACCCGGTGCGCCCGGCCGCGGTGTCCATGCACCGGACGCTCGCTGCTGTCTCGGAGTCCCGCTCGCCTCGCGCGGCCGCCGCCCCGCCGCTCGCGGCTGCAGCCCGAAGCAGCGACGTGGCAGGAGGCGGTCGGCAAAGCCCGGCGGCTGTTCCTCCTCCGCTGCGGAGGAGGTGGCGAGGTGGGTGTCCCCCGAGTCCGGTTAGCCGCGCTCCGGCCGCCCTGCCGGCATGGGACGGAGCCCAGCCCGCGGCTGGTGCAGAGCGGCTCTCCCTCCCCGCTCCTCCCTCGGCCGCCTGTTGCGGCCCGGGGCCCGTTAACGGGTCGGGCGAGTAACGGCGGCGCTGGAGGCGGAGGACGCGGCTCCTGTGCTCGGCTCCGGCTGCCCTGTGCCTCCCCCGCCGCTGGGAACGAGCCGGCGTCGGGTCAGCCCTGAGGGGTTGGTCTCGCTCCGCTGCTGTAGCGCTTCTCCTTGCTGGGATTAGGAGCAAGAGCACTTAAAAAATATCAAAGAAAATATCAAGAGCACTTAAAAAATATCAAAGAGCACAAAAAAATATCAAAGCATATGAAATATTTAATCCTTTTAGCTAGCCCGTATGCCGTAGTTGCGGACTTCTCAGGAAGCAGCCTCCTTGTGCCACCTTCAGCGTCGCAGTGTATCGTTTATCCCCCTTCGATGGTCCTTGTAACACATCCTTCTCTCAGGGGTGACCTTATCGCTCTCTGCCTGAAAGGAGGGTGTAGCCAGCTGGGCTCAGCCTCTTCTCCCAGGCAACCAGCAACAGGAGAAGAGGACACAGCCTTAACCTGTGCCATGGGAGGTTTAGGTTGGACATAAGGAATAAGTTATTCACAGAAAGGATGATTGTATATTAGAATTGTAGGTGACGGATTCACCATCCTGTTTTAAGGGAAGACTGGATGTGGCACTTGGTGCCATGGTCTAATTGATGGAGTCACCATCCTAGGCGGTGTTTTAAGGAAAGACTGGACGTGGAACTTGGTGCCATGGTCTAATAGACATGGCAGTGTTCAGTCATAGGTTGGATTCAATTTTTTTTTTTTTTAAAGTAAGGAAACGATAGTTGTAGAACAAGATCATGGCTTGTTCTATTACATAAGCATCTTTGAATTACACAAAGCAGTAAAATGCACTTATTTTGTCTCGTGTAACCAGTTTCTGGAAGTACTGTTTACAGTGGTTTTTTATCCTGCCATCCAAAGGGCACTGACAGTGAGGCAGCAGGATGAAGGTGGAGTGGTGTAGTCGACTTGCCCTTTGCTCCAAGACAACCAGCCAGACCTTTCTGCTTGGAGGAGTGTTCATTGTGTTGGGTTCGAGTCGAATCCTCCTGATGAAGTATTCTGCCAATGAAGGTACAGTTGGGCAATACCCATAATGTACCTTGAATAGGAAAGCGTTGATATTTGGGCTAAAACATACCCCAAAAACCTACTTCTCCACCTGCAGAGTTCTTTGCATAAACATTCCCTTATATTTATAGGGATGTGTTTCTGCACTGGAAAATTTCTGTCTAGCCAGTAGACTACCATAAAGGTGTAACTTGGGTTGCAAGGGGTATGATCTACCTTTAAAAGGTGAGGCAGGTGATTTATTTTATAGCTAACTCTTCAGAGATGACCCTGTTGTGTAAGCACTCTTGACGGTAGATGATTTGATTGAAATGTTTTCCTTGCAACAGGCTTAGAAGAGAAGTGGTATCCTACTGGATAAAGTGCTAAAACCGGCTGGTGTTGCCAGTTCTAAAAGAAGGTTATGTCATCCTGTTTTTTGTGGGGGTTAAAAAATACCATATTGGTCTTTGGGGAAAGCCTTCCCATTTTAATTTGTTTTTAAACCAGCCATATTCTTAAGTTCTTCAAAAAAAGTTCTGCTGTAAACTGGGATGAAATGAGCAAAGATTTCAACTTAGAAAAGAGGCTCTTCAGGAGGTTGTATGCCATAAACTTTGAAACATTTATAACTGAAGTTCTGACAAAGCCTTCTGTGACTAAAATTGTGATTGTAATGGTTATAATACATTCTTGCTCAAATTATAAATGCAGGAGACAGAAACTGATTGTGTACTCTCTGATTTGCTGGATCCCACAGATAACAAGTATGATTATCTTCCTACAACAGTGAACATGTGTTCTGAAGTAGTAAAACTGGTCCTATGTGTAGTGTTGGCAGTCTGGAATAGGAAAAAAGGTTAGTACCGATGTTTTAAATAACTAAAATGTGTTGACTTTGTAAGATTTGCTGTCCTACAAACACTTTCTTTTGAACAATAAATGACACTCTCCACTTGCTCCAGGTTTTGCATTGCAGGTGATTTTTGCTTTTTCTTTCTTTTCTGTTCTGATGTAAAAACTATGAGAGATTAACTTAATAGCATTACAAAATGGTACAGATCAAATATTTAAGTTGGCTGAGGACGTTCATGTTAAATTGAACTGTTGATTTTGTCTCCTTCTCCAGGAATCAGTCATGGCTCTGGCAAGCTGATAAAATTTTCACCTTCCCCAGTTAGTACAGTCTTACCTAAGACAGTAAATATATTCAATCAGTGTTTGCCATCATTGCCTACTGCTGACTGCATGTTTTCTGGTTTTCTTTATTTTTCTTTCTTTTTTTAAAAATCCACATGGCTGAGTTTTGCTGAACTCAATGTGTTGGTGCTTCAGGAGAGGATTAGATATCATTCAGTAGTTTTAAATCTATGCTAACAAAGTACTTTTGGCAGCAGCTCTGGAGTAGTCTAAAGTTTATCACAGTCTTCCTCCTAAAGTTTGTGTCCTGAATACCTAAGTAAATGTCATTCTTTGTGCTTTGTCCTTTCTTTCTTCTTTTCTTCCTCTATGTTCTCTTTATACCTAGATCATGTGCTGTGGTCTGCAAATACTGAATTCTGGTTTATTTTGTACTTCTGACTTTACTGGCTGACCTTTGGGTGCTCTATGAAGGAATCGACTGTCTGTGTTGTTGTTCCTGTTGTAGATTTGATCAGTAATCAACAGGAAGTCACACCCAGTAAGGATGTCACTGTATGGAGGGACTCTGGGGTGCTTTTTGGCTCTCAAAGAATGGTTGACAATGGAATTTTTGCTCAGAGTGGACAAACACTGTGATGGATGTAACAGATTCTGTGACATTTTCTTTGCTGAGGCAAGGAAGTGAGCACCACACAGGGTTGCTGCTCCAGCTGTGTTCTGCCCTGGAACACAGGTTCCAGTGTTGCCAGAGAACTGAGGAACCCAAGGATTTTCAGTCTAATGGTGTTCCTCAAAAGAGGACAGTGGTACCTATTCTGTTACAAGGGAACAGGCTTTCAACAATAGGAATTAATATCTTTCTTACTGATTTCTTTTCCTTTCAGAAAAGAGTTGTATGGATCATTTCTCTGAATGTTTTTCCTGGAAGAATGTATGCAATTCCATGAAATGGTCAATTCCTGCCTTTCTTTACTTTTTGGATAACTTGATTGTCTTCTATGTACTGTCCTACCTCCAGCCAGTAAGTATACTTACACCGAATAACATGACTTCTCATGTCTTAGTGGGTAATACTGCTCTAACGCTATCTGCTGTGGTAACACTGGCAAGGCAAGATTGTAACTGAGCTGTCTGCTGTTTTAACACAGAAAGAATAATCTGTTACCTTCCCATTCTCTTTCCCACTGGTCAGGGTTGTACAGCTTTCAGCACAGACAACTCTTTATATTTTCTCCATCCAACATGATTCAGAAATAGGGTGAAATGCTTAAGAAGTGGGAGGGTTTTTGCTACTTTTCTTCCTTTGCCTTCTTCAACTCTGTATTTTGCTTTCAATCAATTTGTTTCTCTTGCTATTATTTGAGCTGCACGTTTCTGTGGGGCTTTTGCCACTTTGTGTATGTGATGTAAAGTGAATAAATGTAATCTCACAAAGGGAATAGGTGTAACAGAAAGTGAGGAGGGGGTGAAGAAAATGGACTCAATTTTTGCATTTGTGTATTAGCTATGTTTAGGTATAAAATTTAGTTGATATTTTCTTCTAGCTACCCTCCTCCTTTTGGATGAACCTGCATATGCTCAGGAAATTGTACAGGTTTTGTGCTTGCTCTTATTTTTGTATCCTGATGCTTTTTGGTTCAGAATCTATGTTTGCAGTAAGATGGAACCAGATTGTTTGTGATTGCTATAAAGTACTGTTGAACATTAAAAAGAAATGGTTTTCTACCTTGTCTATCAGAATTTATCTTTAAAATAGTGTTCTCTTAGGTGTATATTTCTGCCAGGGACAGACCAGACCAGAGTCTAGACCAGGACTCAGCTGACAGCTCAGAAATCTTAAAATAACATGCACAGCTGCTTGGTTCTGTGGTTTTTTTGTATGGTTTTTCTTATTGATGGGATTTTTTTGTTGGTAGTGGTTGGGGTGTTTTTTGATTGGTAGGGTTGAGTTCGGGGGTTTTTCTTGTTTTTTTTTTTATTGGGGGGTGTTTTTGTTTTGTTTTTTGGGGTTTTGTTTTGTTTATTTGTGGGTCATTTTGGTTTGTTTTGGTTTTTAGTTTTAGGAAGGAAATTCGGCAATAATATTTGTAGAAGAAAAGCCTGATGCATAGGAGGTTCCATAAATGCTATTTTTCTCTTGAGCAATTTAATTTGGTTCAGTTTAGGTAATCCTTGGGAAATAGACAGCTTTTGTTTTACATACACACACACCCAGGCATACCTTGTCTCTGTCCCCTCAGAACATGTGCTCTACGACTCCTCTTATTAGAACTCTTAGCGTCTTTTAATTAGAGAAATTCTATGATGGTTAGCTGAATCTGTAACATTATTATGATAAAGAAGTATTAAAATAGATAACTAAATATCTCTAAGATAGAATATCTTGATAACGTACAAGACCATGAATGTGAAATGTGAAGATGCTTAAAAGGAAGATGGCCATACCCGACTGAACTTGGTCATATGACTTTAAATGCAAAGTAGTTTTGGGACTAAGTAGTACCTGGGTGAGCAGCTGCTGGAATTGGGGTTGCTTTGGTGAGATTCTTATTGCTTGAAACTTCAGCTATAACTGTGGATACTTTTTAGTGGCTAAATTTCCTAGAGACTTACCTTTTGAGGCTTTACTTGGGACGTGCAGATTAGTGGCATGGGGAACTTTGGTGTTCATATTCCTTTTCATCTAGAACAGAGATTTCTTGAGGTTTCAGAGAACAAAATGAGTCAAAATTAATTTTTTCAACTATCCTTTGAAATATTTTGCTCATAATGTTACCAGAGATGTTGGATGGGGAGCATTGACTGTAAAGCAAAACCAGAGTGTGCATGAACTACGTCCACATTTTGCATAAAGGCCCTTTTTTTCCAGAGTGGTTTCTGCCAAATTTCCTTATTTATTCCATATTTTTCTCCTTCCACAGTGTTTACCTAACATGAATATTTACTGAGTTTTAATTTTGCAAAGTGGAAAATTAAGATGTGTTTTCTTAGGGAGGTGTCTCATTGTCAGTAAGTGTTCAGCTTATGTGAGAGCCTGTGTTGTGCTGTTTCATCAGAATTATTGTTCAGCAGATGGTATGTTGGGATAAAGTGGAATGACGATAATGAGAAAAGAGTCTGTGCTTTTCCTCTGGTGAAGGAAAAAGACACTCTATAGCAGAATTGGGAATGTGGAAATGATGAGGAAATTCAAGAAAAAGTCTGTTTTGTACTCCTGAATCCATATATGCTTATGTGTAAAATTGTCTAAAAAGCTGAGGCTCAATGGGACCAAATACTTCAGCTGCCTGGATCTGTTGTACATTTACTGACTATGCAGGGCAGTCTGGAGTAACAGACAGTAAAACAAGAGGCCTAGAATATGCCACTCTGCAGGAAAGGGGAAAACTCATCAAAGGAGATGCATGGGAAAGATCAAGTTTGCAAAACACCCCCCACCCTCATAAAGAGGATTTTTTATTCCTGCTGGTGCTGGTGGATTCTGGTCTTTATTGGTAACTGGAGTGCTTAAAAGAGCCTTTTCTTGGTCTGGTCTCCCAGTATAGAGTGTCTAATACTGAGACAAAACAGACAATCCTTGCCACAAGAAGTTTGCAGCTTGGGATCGTGGCCATGGATTAGAGCACTGATATTATTATATAGTTATTCCAAAATTAAACAGAAGCTTTAGAGTTGTCTTCAGTTGTACTTCAAAATAGATTATTTTCTTAAAATTACAGTTGCAATCTTAAAAATTCAAGCCAAGCACCTCTTTATCTTTGATTAAACTCTACAGCAAAAGCACTTGACATAGAAGAAGTTTGTTTTCTGCAAGTGGCTTGTCCAAGTCTGGAATTTCATGAACACTGCAAATGGCACTGCAGCCAGGAGCAACCTCCTCTTGCTTTATTCTTTGCTTATTCTCATTTTGGAGCAATTTCCTCCTTTGTGCCAACACAGCTGTTTTTGCAGCTCACTGGTTAGCCCAGCTGGGGAACTGATCTGACCGAAAACTAAACTGTTCTCTGCTAAGTAAGTTTTCTGTTGCACTGGTTTCCTCACATCTTCATTTCAGTATACCTTTCCCCACTGCAGTGGAGCTTGGGCTCTATGGTTGCTTTGGGATTTTGAAATGGGACTTGACTATCATTTTACAGGTGTGGTATTGTACTACTTGGGTGAGGAAGAAAATTCAGTACCAGTGCTTTTCACTCTGGCACGTTGCAGGAAGGTGAACACTTGAAGTCTGTAGGTTTTGGTGTCCACAGTGTGTCTGAAGTATAACTTTATTCCTCTCCTTCTCTTTCAAGGCAATGGCTGTACTCTTCTCAAATTTTGTCATTATAACAACAGCTCTTCTCTTCAGGATAGTGCTAAAGTAAGTAGTATTTGCTACAGTAAATGAAATTTCAATCTTCCCAGCTTTGATGAAGTTAAGCTACATTTTTTCTCTTTGTCTGACGGGAACAATAATTCTCTTTTCTTGCGGCTGTACCAACTTGGAGAGGTGGTTTTGTTTTCTACATCTGAAGGTGTAGGAAATATGTTATTAGGAGTCCCTTCATATGTCTACACATTTGGTCAACTCTAGTAGAAAACAGTTGAAATCATGATTATATAGTCATGGAATGGTAAGAAGAAAGCTTTCATTTATACATTAAATATCTTATTTCATGATTGCCAGTACTTACCAGTCTTTTGCAGTTCTTAATTGAGTGCAAATGTGGTCTAGTAAGAGGAAATGAGATACATAAGAGTGAAAGATAGAGGTGTGTTTGGTTCATTACTCATGTGACAAAAGCCAGACTAAGTGTTCCACTTTGCTGAATTTGGGCTCTTTATAGTATTATTTAGATTAAAAAAAGACTATCAGGGAAATGGGTATTAACTTTTCACTGTAAAAGTTGCTTATTTGAATATGGCACAGATAAGCTTTTTCTATATGTGTTAATATGCCAAAACAGTGCCTGATAATCTGACTCTAAATGCTTTTTCTCATTTTAGTTTTGTCTCTTGTGATGTCACAGTTCACTTAATCTTCCAAATTTTTTATTTTCACCAAGATAAACAGGCTTTGTTTGAGTGGAAAAACAGCATAAATAATTCTAATAGTCTTATGAATTACATTTGTAGATTTATAAGAGTTACCATCATATAATAGTAGAAAAGGACTCCAAGTCATAGGGGAAAAGAGCAGTATAATGAACATTTTCCGAAGAAAGATGGTAATTATTTGGATGTCTGTGATGTTTTTTGCTTTATTCGTCCGACCTTTGTTGCCATGGAGACAAGAGTTGCTTTTAAGTTGTTAGGCAGTCAGTATCTAGAAATAATGTGATCTTGAAAGTCCTTCCTTATTTCTTCAGAATACTTTATTTTATACTTCTTTGTTTGCCAGACTCGGCCCCCTTTGCCATAGTAAATCATGTTGCAATTTTGCATTTTATTGTATTCTGAAGAGACTTTTCTTTACACCTGTCTGTCTCCTTATCTGTGACATTATGTCTTTTATATGTTTTATAGATTTGGGTATTCTGTCATTTAATTTATGCCACTGTGTTTCTAAATTTAGTGGCTTTTTTGTGTACCAGGCGAAGACTCTCTTGGGTACAGTGGGCGTCTCTGGTGATTTTATTCCTGTCCATCGTTGCCCTGACTCGAGGAACTGGAGGCCATCCGCACAACTTGGCTGCACATGGATTTCATCACAGTATGTTTTTTGGGCCATCTAACCACTGCCTTCTCGCTACTGGACCTGAGGAAGCATGTGCAGAAAAGGGCATCTGTCCAGCACCAAGTTTCTTTCACAGCTTCCAGTGGAATGTGACCAGTACCATGGCAGGAGCATTGAAGCCTCTCCGCCTCAGCCTGGGCCATTTGCTTATTCTAGTGCAGTGTTTTGTGTCTGCCCTGGCTAACATCTACAATGAAAAGATGCTGAAAGATGTGGATCAGCTTGGGGAAAGCATCTTCACACAGAACAGCAAACTCTATGCCTTTGGAGTGCTGTTCAATGGGCTCATGCTGGCACTGCAGGCTAAGGACCGGAGGCAGATAGGGAACTGTGGCTTCTTTTATGGGCACAACATCTTCTCTGTGGCTCTTATATTTGTCACAGCTTTCCTGGGGCTGTCTGTAGCCTTCATCTTGAAGTTCCGAGACAACATGTTCCATGTTATGACTGCTCAGATCAACACTGTCATCATCACCACTGTGTCTTTTGTCATCTTTGACTTCAGGCCTTCTCTAGAGTTCTTTTTGGAAGCTCCTGTAGTGCTTCTCTCCATATTCATTTATAATGCCACTAAAGCAAGAGGCTTGGAATACGCCAGTCTGAGGGAAAGGGGAAAACTCATCAAAGGAGATGCATGGGAAAGATCAAGTGGGGTAAGGCTTTTCAGTACTTGTCTCCTTTGGTTTCTCTTTTTTTCACCTCCCTTTATGCTATGATATGTTTGGAAGAATCAACTTGTGTGCGACGGGACTCATCCCTCAGCACCAAAGTTCTGCAGTATTTCTTAAAGTCTTGGGTGTTGCTTTCCATTTGCCACTTTTTGAAATCATGAAGCCTAGGTAAGCATTGCTTTCCTGCTGCGACTGTAGACAGTCCTGTGAGCAACTTCAGCTTTGTACAAATCTTTTCTTGAAAGCTTTATAATCAATAGAGTTTACTTACCCAGTTGAGAAACTGGAATTGATGCCTGGAAAGTAACTGTACCTAAGTAGAACTGGTAAGTCTGTCTAACTTAGGCCACATGATGAGGAAGCTAACACTTTTGACGTTAAAGTTCGTTCTGCCATAGCAGTAAAAGATAGCTGAAGACAAAAAGGCAATATTTAAACACAGCGTTTTAACATGGTTTGGGTTTTTTTTTCTTGCTATATATTTCCTCTAGGCCTGCTCGTGTTTTTGTTCCGATTTGAACAGTGATGTAGTCAGCTAGAAGGTGTCAGGGACAGCTTGCTCCTAGAGCTGTCGTTCAGCCGAGCTGAGCAGTCGCCTGCTGGGAAGGGTTCATGTTTGTGCCCGTCGGCCCGCGGATGCACGTTGTACCCAGCAGAGAGCGCTGTCCCCACTGCGTTCCAGCAAACATTACACTTTGAGCGCAAGCGTTAAACTTTCCAGAAGTTCCACATGGTGCCTTTTTAGGTTGTTGTTTAATGAACAATAAATAACACAAATTCATATATTTTTGGTGTGCCAGGTGTCATCTATTTTAGCACTTACACCTAAGCAGCTGTTGTAGAAACGAATAGCATTATGTGAGCATACAAAGCCAGCTATATCTTGGGCTGCATCAAAAGCAGTGTGACCAACAGGTCAAGGTAGGTGATTCTGCCCCTCTGCTCTTGTGAGACCCCACCTGTAGTACTGTGTCCAGTTCTGGGGACTTGGATCTGCTGGAGTGAGTCCAGAGAAAGGTGATCAGAGGGCTGGAGCACCTCTCCTATGAAGACAGGCTGAGAGAGTTGGGGATGTTCATCCTGGAGAAGAGAAGGCTCCAGGGACACCTTCTAGCATCCTTCCAGTACCTTCCAACCCAAACCATTTTATGATTGCATGGAAGAAGGGGCTACAAGCTGTTTTTAACACTAAAAAGTGTTAGGGAATGTTTTTTATGAGTATGTATTTCCTAAACCTTATAACATACTTGTAAGAGATTTAAATTACAGGGATTACAGGATTTTGCTTTAAGTGATACTTTTAAAGAAACATAAACCGTAGTCTTTTTTTTTCATTGCTATTAATAACAAGATGACTTTTGGTCACATTGCTCTCTTTTGCTTCTGGTTCCTGTAGGATGGAGAGGAATTTGAGAGGTTGAACAAACCAAGCAGTGACATCGATACAGATGAAGATTCCCTCTAGCATGAAGCTGTCTTGGAGCAGTGCTAGTGCTCACAGTGAGAGAGAGCTAATCTTTTATTAACATAGGGAAGAGTTGTTTTTCCCCACTGACAGACTATTTGGAACTGTTTTGGGGCTGGATGTCAAATGTGGATGAGGACAATATTCAAGCTGTATATATGGAAAGTTGTATTCATTTGTGCCTGTCTCCCAGTGTCTGGGGAAATCAAAGTCTGGAATGCAGCTGGTGAATTTTACATGCAGCTTACGTGGCCTAACTTTGAAAGAGCTTGAATAAAACAAAAGTTTATTAAACATATGAATGCATCATCTTTTTTATGTGTGTGTTTAGAAAGGCTTTGTGTAGAGGCTTAGTTTGCACTGAGCCCACTACTGAAAACAAATATTATGCAGCTACAGTAATGCCCTTCAACATCTAGAGTACTGAGCAAGAGAGTGCAGGTGGGAATATCATCTGGTGTTGTTCTACCCTTGCAGACTATCAGTCTTGCATTCATTTTGTGGAGAGAGAAGTCATTCTGCAGAGTGCCAGGCATAGTGATCTCAGAATGTCTGTTGAGGCATCTGCTGGATTGTATTTTGACTGAGATGGAAAATAGGTTCCAAATTATTCAGAGAATTTTGAAAGAGGCAAGGGAACAGGGATGCTGATAAGGGATTCCTGGTGTGTTCCAAAGCCTCTTGTCTCAGAGCAGTGGAAAAGATGTTGGTTTATAATTTCCTCCCTTCAAAAATGTGTCTTTCATAGTTGAAAGATACTGTCAGAAGAATTCTTAAGATAAGCAATGAGTTCAGTGTCAGAGCCTCATACCAGAGTATATAGTAAGCAGTAAGTGATGCATTTCTCTGGACTGAAGACAGTCTAGCCTTTGTTCCCCTCTGCCATCTTGTCCAGTCTCTGTGTATAAAGCTTGTGTACTGTATGAATGGCTGATTGCTATATTGACATACCTCCTGTCACTTATCCATCAAGAGGGGCAGCCTGTTTTCTTATGTGGCCTGTGGTTTATAACTGTCCAGCTATAAATGAATCTAAAATTTCTATTTTTTTCCTGTATTTTATAGAGTATATATCAAGAATGACCATACAAAATTAATTTAATGTTATTAGTAAGAAGATTTTTGCATCTAATTTCATTGTGCATGTATAGCAGGCTATTTCAACATAAGGAATCCTAGTTGTTTGCATCAGAATCAGTTTGTACAGAATTACTAGAAGGTATATTTCAGTGTAAATTCCAGAAACTCTGTTGCTCTCATTGGTTTATGATGTTGTATGTTGAGAAATGAAACTTAAAAAAATCCTCAAATTGTTAAAGGCTTGGTGGCAATGAGACTTTGTTTTTTTCATTTCATTCAGCTTTACAATATATACCTGAGTTTGTTGCCTTTTTCAGTCACAGCTATCAACTTTGGCAGGTGCTTTCAAGAAGAGTGAAAGTACTGTTAGCTTTAGATTGCTTTGCATTGATGTGAGCCGTAACATTTTACATGAAGTTCCAAAGACCTTTGCCTTGCATCAAGTGAGAACATAGAAATCAGCCAAGATCTTACTTCTAAAGACAGAGCATCAAATCAAAGATGAATACCTTAAAAACCATATTTGACCTTTGTGCATCAAGAGACAGGAAATTTGGAAATGACTGATTTCAGCTCTTATAAGGTGCATTCAGTTCTTACTTTCAACTCTTGTCCTGCCTAATGATTTTCTTTTCTGTATATTTCTCCAGCGCTATCATGCTTGACTTATTTGCCAAAGTCTAGGTTGCACAAAGATATTGGTTATATAACTGTTGATCCAAGTTTTTACTCATGCTGCAGATTTGGTTCTGTCTAACATGTAGAAATCTTTCTGTTATCTTCAGGTTAGAGGTCTCAGAGAAATTATGTTGGAGGCCATGCAGGTTTCTTATTATGGTGAAGGAGAACTGTATATCCCCTTTGCAGCAACAGGAATATTAACTGATATCTAAAAATGGGTAAGGATTTGTATCCACTTAGCAGTCACATAAGGTAAATAATAACCCAAAGCATAACATGCAAATGTTTGCAGCTGTGCTATTCATGGCAAAGGTAAAATTTAGTGTATAGGTGAGATTTGTTAGAAAAAGTGACTGAATAATAGTCAGCTGGAGAACAGCCCTAGAGAGCAAGGGAGAGCAATTCTATGAAGTTACATGTTTCAGATAGATCATGTGAAATCTCACTTGATTAAGTACTTCCACTATATGGAAACTGGAAACTACTCCATGTTGGAAAGCTTAACTTATATTCACTCAAAATTACGATAGGGAAATTTATGAGGATGTTTTTGGAGAGCAGCATTAGTTTGGCACATAGTCTTTAGTGAATACATTGGGCAGAGTACTCTTGCTAAGCTTTGATTTAGAGCCCAGATTCACGAATGTTTGAACTTAATTGCTGCTAAGGGTGTTATGTTCCTCTCTCTGGGTTTGAGGAAATAGTTCACAAAACATCCCAGGAAGAGAGGTGTGTTCGTGTTCCCCTTGCTTGTAACAAAGTCAATTAAGGAAGTATTTATTTTGGTTAATTTCATCTATTTTGTGAATGTAGCAGCTTCAAAGACAGACTGTGGATGAAAACAGCCCTCTTGGAGCTGAATCAAATGCCATAGATATGTATAAGAAAAAAGACTTTCCTTCTCGCATAGAATCTTCCCACTAAGATATGTTGAAAAAGGACCTTAGTCTCAGTAAATCTGTCCTCAGAGTGATGCTGCAGGGGCAGATCCAGTGATCTGGATTTGATTTGTTTTGCCAAATGAAGTCTTCATTTGATGAAATGTAACTCCTGAATGCTTATAGCCTGCAAGATAACTACATGTTGTCGTTGAAATAATATTTTGGCTTGGTGCTCCTTCTAGCTTTGCTTTTAGTTTTCCATAGGGAAAAGTGGGTTGCAAAACCAGGATTTTAAATCATTGCTTTAAGTTTCTGGATATTTTGTATCATTTTGTAATGAAGGCAGAAATAGACACTAGAATGTAGAATAATGCAGATTCTTCTACAAATTCTATGAATATTTGGATGTGCATTTTTGGTTAAGAGCCCATTCCTACCTCCCTTGATAAGGGGACAACGTGTTTGAAGTTGTCTTTTTAATGTAACTCCTCCTGAATGCCTAGGCAGGGTTTGGTACTTGCACAATTTGACTTTGAATTTCAGACAGGGGTATAAAAAAAAAGCCATTTGGATCAGGTGCTGTACTCTTTTTAATGTAAGTTAACCCTTGCAGCACAGGATATTTAATTTATGTGATTTGTAGTGTGAGTTAAAAGGGCTTTCATTTAAAGACTTTACATGAAAACAAGATTACAGGAGAGTTTAAATGAACACCTGAAAGAAAATGCTCCAAGGGTGTGTTTCTTTCTGTCTACAGGAGGTGCCTGTTAGGTGTCTGGTGTACTTTCCTCTGCTTTTGCTTTAGGCAAGGAAAGTTAGGCAGCAGACCTTGATACAAGGTAATGCAATGAGCTCTTGTTTTCAAAAAGTGAGCTACAGGACATTCCATTTTCTTCTAGAAACCCTTCCATCCTGTGATTCTTTTGGTTTTTTGAATTTCTCTGTCCACTGCTTTCAGCTGTGGAAGTGCTATTGTCACTGAGAGCTCAGAAGCTCTCTGCAGGCAGCAGTCCTCTCAAAATCATTCTGTTAAATGCCTTCCCCCAGTTAGCTCCAGTCCCCTGAGAAAGGTTAGTCAGGAGCTGTACCCTGCACTGACTGGATGTTGTGATAGGGAGGGCAGCCTGCCCCAGAGAGTGACCAGGTTTGTACAGCTGAGGCCTTGTGACCATTTGTCTGCCCTTTTGGCATTCAGAAGGAATGCTTGACCTTTTGTGACTTAAGTTTCTAAAGAAAGCATCTGTTTTTGAATGAACTTTTGTGTTATCCAGTTTTGTTTTTATCTGGGAAAAAGGAATCAGGAAAATGGAAGAAGTCAAAATGGAAGGCATGGTCTGGCCAGCTTAAAGCTGTAGCTTTTCCCTATTCCTGTGCTACTTCTGTGATAGCAATACCTAGTACAACTGCCCCGTTGTGTGCATCTATATGTGATGTGCACCCACATCATGGATTATAAAAAGAAATATGATTGGTCAGGCACACCTTCAACCTCAGAAGTGACCAATATTCCATTATAAAGGCTGACATGGTATCTTCACTTAAAGATATTCCATAATCTTTCTGCTGCATCTTTAATATTTAGAAATCTAACCCAAATGACTAGAAACAATGACTATGAATGGTTGAAACCATGGCTATGCAAGCAGTACCTGACACTGGTTTCAGTAGGGTAGAGTGGTGCTACCGCTCCAATGCCCAAGGACATCAATGAGAAGGGAGAAAAAAAACCATTTCTGAAAGTGTGGCAAAAATAGAGATGGTTTAGCAGATTAATTTAATGTCAAGTACTTTTATAAACATTTAATCCAGATCACGTTTGTAGGCAAGGGTATGAGGAGAAAAGGTAAAAGAAAATTTGAAATTTGGAGTAAAAGTTTAATTAAAAACATTATTATAGAGAGCTAGTTACACCTCATGAAAAATATACTTGAATGAGATTTCTTTTTCTGATGAAAATAATGCATTTCAGATTTCTGTATTTCAGACAGTGCTAACCCTGGTTGGTATGTCTACTTAGCTCTCATTAACTTGGATTTATCAGTGAGGTGGGCAGGACCTAAAAGAACAGGGACCCCAACTGAAAGAATAAATAGCCATGCAGTAAGCTTTGTAGTTAAGAACTTTCTTTGTAGTTAAGAACTTTACATTGTATTGTATTGGAACAGGTTCTGCCATAGCCATAAGTCTTATTTTCATTCATAAAGTCAGCTAATTACAATGGTGATGCACTGTAGAAGGGATGCTGTCTTTTTAAATATGGTGTTTCAAAAAGATTTTATTGCTGTTGTTGTTCTTATTAAAAAGCATGCCCCATGCTTCTTTCTTAAATTTTTCTTTTCTAGGAGAGACACAAAATGTGGTTTTTTGTTTTTCTTCATAAGCATAATGAAATCTCACTTTCCAATAAATTTACTTTTTTTTTCCTCCTTAGAAAAAGTAGTAAAAAGCACATTGTTGGACAATTGTAGTGCCAATGGGCTGGGGCATTCTTTTGTTTGGTTTTAATACGAACAGCACCTGCTGATGGCCTTTGTTTATAAAGGTTTAAAAGTATAAAGGAGTCTTTATTGTTTAAAGCTTCAATGCTACTGGTTTGAATTGCTTCACTGTAAAGGCTTCTGCATTTTTTGAGAAGGCAAGTAACCAAAGTCCCTTG